ATTAAAATATATACATATCTGTATATATGGAACTCATAAGTAAAAACAACTAATAACCTAGTTTAAAAATGTGCTAATGACTTAGTCATTTCTCCAAAGAAGACAAATAGGACAATGCAAGCTGAAACTAAAAGGAGCTGTCACTTCACACCTGTGCTGGTGAGAAATAAGAACCCTGCCACATTCAAAAGGTAAAACAGTCCAATGTCTGTGGAAAACAGTTCAGTAGTTCATCAAAAAATTAACTATGATTATCATCCAGCAATCTCTTTCAGATATACAGTATACTGAAAACAGAAACTTTCAGATACTGTACTTCCATGATCATCACTGCATTATTCAGAACAGTGAAAAGGTGGCATCAACTAAGTCTGCAAAGACCAAATGGATAAGCAAAACATGGGATAGACAAAAACAGAATGTTCTTCAGCCTCAGGGAAGGAAATCTTGACATACCTACAATGTGGATGAACCCTGAAGGCATCATGCTAAATGAAATAAGCCAGACACAAAGGACAAATATTGGACAATTCGATTCATCTGAGGTGTGCAGAATCGTTAAATCCATAGAAACAGAAAGTACCATGGTGGTGAACAGCAGCCTGCAGGAGTGAGGAAGAGGCAGTTACTATATAATAGAAGAGTTTCAGCTTGAGGTGAAGAAAAAGTTCTGCAGATGGACAGTGGTGATATTTACACAACATGGTGAATTACTTAATGCTGCCCAATTAAACATTTAAAAATGGTAAACTGTATGTTATATATATTTTGTCACAACAAAAAAGCTAAACAAAAATTATGGCATTATATGGCAAAAATGAAAAGAGCTGAATAATTTTTAAAATTTGTCTGTCCTAGGGGAAAAAAGCAAATTATTTATATTTACATATGAACAATGTGAGGAAGAAATGCCAAACTGGAAACCCACTGAACTTGGTCACTGTCTACGCTGGCTGTGTGTAAGGTGGAGTGTACCTCACCACCCAGGGGTGCTGGGTTGAGGGAAATGGGGATGAAAAGGGGAAGAACTAAGAAATTCTACAATCAGTGCCAAAACCGAGTTGTCGCCAAGCTAGGAGACAAAGGTAACAAAGCTCTGGACTACCGTAACACCCTTTCTAGATCCAAATTACAAATATCTAAATTAATTAGAAATAAAGCCAAAGACAGACCAAAGGAACCGCACAGAGTCCAAAATTAAGCTTCACAAACATATAGTTATCTAATTTCAGACAAAGATTATAAATGGTGTTGAAATGATTAAACATTCATGTAGGTTAAAAAAATATGATTCCTACCTCAAGCTATACACAAAAATTAATTCCAGATGGATTGTAAATTTAAATGGGAACAGTGATTCAATAAAGCATCTAGAGAAAAGTATAATCCTTGCTTACTCATAACCTTGGAGTAAGCATGGATTTCTTAATCAGGATATAAATAGTGCTAACATAAAACAAATTTTTAATGAACTACATTAAAATCAAGAATTTCTGTTTATCAGAAGATATAACTGAGTGTGAATACACAATGAGAAAAATATTGGCAATGCATACAGCCAGCCAAGACACTACATCTAGAATAAAGAACTCTTACAAATCAATATCAAAAAGAAAAACCAACTTTAGAGTGGGTCCAAAACTTTGAACACACTTTACAACAGAAGATTCCTAATGGCCAATAAACATAAGCAAGTGCTCAAATTTATTAATCATCAGGAAAATGCAAATTCAAACACTTTGTTTAATAAATTGATGGAGACTACCCTGAGCAAGCTGCAAATTTATAAAATGGCTTTTCATATTAAAAGTCTGAGTCTGCCTATTAGCTCACAATGGCTTGTCTGAAGAGCCAGCAGTTTGTGTGTGGAAACAGAACAACTCCCCATGCCACTGGTCACAGTGGAGGTCCCAATGACCCATGATGCTGTAACATCTTGGATGGCAAGACAATATTGCAGCTAAGGGCAACATGACTGGCACACAAAATTTCTATAGAAGCAAAAATTAATCTAATGGAAAAAACAAATTTCCCATTAATCAATGATCTCTTCCTGCTACAATGTTCCTCTGTGGCTCGCACCCGGCTCACATCAGTACTCTCCACTCCACTGTTCCCTCCCTCCACCACTCCTTGCCCCCTCAAGAAGTTGTGTGTTCAATAAATAGTGCTCCAGGCAAGCTCCAGGAGACAGCGTCTTAGCTTGGTAAGAGCTTTCACCATCCTGGGCCCCTTTTATGCAGTAAAGATCTTGTCTTGTCTTTTGTTATCCTGCGCCATACCCTTGGTCAGGTGACTGGGGGTCTGATCAGTCCCAATAACGAATACTATGACACGGTTGGTAAAATAAAAATGGTTGGAAAATACCAAGTGCTGGTAGAAATGAGAGGCAAGCAAATCTCTCATGCATTGCTGAAAGGAATGTAAGCCAGTGCAACCACTTTAGAAAACTGTTTAAAATCATCCACCAATACCAAAAACACACAAACGTGTACCTTCTAACCCAGTGATTTGATTCCTAGGTCTATACCCCAGAAATGCGCACACATAGTCACCAAAAGATACAGGTAAAAATATTGTCAAAACCTAGAAACTGCTGAAGTACCCACCAACAGCAAAATGGAAAAATAAATAAATTATGCTATGGCCACATAACTATGCCATTGAGAATGAATTATAACCACCTGCAAAGTGGAGACAGTTCACAAACATTGCTGAATGAAAGAAACGAGACACAAGAGTGCACACTGTAAAATTCCATTTGTACTGCGTTCAAAGCTAAACAGATTCTAGTCCACGGAGTTAGAGCCAGTGATCATCCTCCTTCCAAGAGTGCCAGGGAAGGGCAAGGCAGAGGTGGGCAGGAGCAGAGGAGCTGTTCCTCAGACTGGACCCACCACCGCACCAGTGTGCCTAGCATGAGATCCACATACTTCTCTGTGCACCCAAGCTTCCCTTTTTAAAATGAAAATAAAACTGAATCTGCTGCACCAAATTCCACTCTGTAGATCGGGGACTACAGCCGGGCATGGTGTTGTTGTATGCCTGTGATCCCAGCACTTGAGAGGTCAAGGCCAGCCTGGACTACATAGTGAGACCCTGTCTCAAATGACGAAAAAAAAAAAAAGAAGAAAGAAGAAGAAGGAAGAAGAAGGGGAAGAGGTGGAGGAAGACGACGAAGAAGATGATGATGATGAAGAAGATGATGAAGATGATGATGACGACGACGACGATCAGGCACTACAGAAAGTGGGTGAATTCTAAACTAGAATTTTTTTACCTCAAACCAAGATGTGACTGACTCCAGCACAGGTTTGGGAGGACAGGAGTAAACACAAACACACTGATGATCCACTGATAGACAAATGGATAGATGGATCCATATGACGGTCGGACAGACAGTTGTCACACGGGCATGGCATCGTGTGGGATAGGCACTGGAAGGCTCGGCCCCTCTGGAGCCGGCAGTCACGGTCCAGTGCCACTCAGGGAGAGTCGGTGCCTTGCCTCCCCATCTCCCTGTTCCCCTGTCCCCCAGCCTCCTAAACTCCCATACCCTGTCCCCTGCCCTTCAATCCCCCTTCCCCTCCCACTTCATCCTCCAACCCCATCCCCCTGTCCTCTGTTCCCTGGTCCCCCCATTCCTCCTCCCCCCGTTTCCCTGATCCCCCCCAATTCTCCTGTTCCCGTCTCCCGGTCTTCTGTACCCCGGCAACCCTGACCCCCGTCCCCAAATCTACCTGACCCCCACCCGCCTATCCTTTGTCCCCTGATCTTCCTCTGCCCTTTCCCCTTGTTCCCGTCTCTAGTCTCCCCGTCATCCCCCCTTCAGTCCGCTGTCCCGTCTCCCTCTCCCCTACCCGTCCCCGGTCCCCCAAACCTCTTGTCCCCTCCACCCCCTGTCCCTCGTCCCACGACCCCTCTGTCCTCCCGTCCTCCCGTCCCTCGTCCCTGGTCACACCTGCGCGGCCGCCGCGGAAGGCGGAGGACGTGGACCGCGGGGAACGCAGGTGCCATGGCGGGGTGGCGACGCGGGGTGGCCCGTGGCGGGTGCGGGGCGAGGGGCGAGGGCCGAGGGGCGAGGCCGGGACGGGGACGCGGTTGCGGCCACTCACCGTGGACTCCCGCACTTGGCTGTGGAAGTGCTGCTCCCGCGCCGACACCTCGTCCTGCCCTTCCATCCTCCTTCATGCTCGCCGCTGCGCCGCCCTGCTCCGCGCGCTCCGCCGAACCATCGCTCGCGGGCGGGCACCGAGACCAAGCGCAGCGGGGTAGCGAAGGCGTCGCCTCAAGCGGTCTTCCGCCTAGGCTGAGGGACTACAGCGCTTCGGCGGCGGGGGGGCGGGGCGGGCGCCGGGAGGGGCGGGGCGGAGCCGTACGTCAACCGAGAGCGCCGCGCGTCAGAGAGGTGCGCAGGCGCCGGGGAGCGGGGGGGCGGGGCGCGAGGCCTGCGCCGGGGGCGGGGCCTGCACCGGAGGCGGGGCGTTGGTCCAGGGTTACGAGGCGCTTGCGGTTCCCTGGAGGTGCAGGACACTTGGTGGAGTGGTCCCCACGGGAGTTCGTCACCCACAGCCCCTCAGAGTGTCCTCCCCGGGCGGAGGCCGCGATCTCGGCGGGAACTCGCGCAGCCGAATAGGTCCAGGTCGGGCTGGGCCGGGTGCGAGCGATAAGGGCGCGGCCGGCGCACTCTGGAGGACCTAGATAGCGCGGCCCGCAGGTACTTGGCTACTCCAGGGCGCTTTCTGCACCGCGGAATATCCAAGCGTAATGATTCACCCCCGTTCCATATTGTCCTTCATTTGTTTTTGTTACAAAACTGGAAGTTTGTTTTGTTTTGCTTTTTCAGAGAGGTTCAAACTAACAGTCCTCCGGCCTCTACCTTCCAAGCGCTGGGGTTACAGACCAGCCCCGCCACACTGGCTAAAATTGATTGAAAGCAATATTTATAATTTTGCTTTAGAGGTTACTTGGCTAAGAGAAAGCTATTTAAATTGCTCCTGGGTGTTGAGGTGGGGCAACCTGGAGGGTCTAAAGCGTGTTCCAACCTTCATCAGCAACCAGGAACAACTTTGCAGGGGCTGGATCCAGTGTTCACCTTTGTATTTTAAAATGTCTCAACCCTAAAGAAGTAGGGTAGCAGTCTCTTAAGTCTGTGCTTCTGGCCACCCACATTCTGAGCGCTGGATTAAATACCTCCCTGAACTGACCTAGATAATTTCTGGGTTAATCTCTCCAAATAAGAGGTTAAGCAGATCAGGTTTTAAGGTGTGTGGCATTTAGACACATATTCCAGAAAGTGGATGCATTCAGTATTTCAGAGCCTCCTGATCGAACATTGCACTCATCTAAACCCTTTGAGTTTCTTTTATCTAGTTGTCTATAGACATCTTTCATTTTATTCATTTCCCTGTCATTGGTACTTGCAACACTTAACCTAGGATGGTAGACTTCAAAAATAGCCACAAAGTTACGTCTTTCACCCCTCTGCCTTCTGGCTCTGCTGGGGAGCCCAGAGGAACTTTCATCACCAGCTGCTCTCAGATTTAATCTATCCTCTTGAGACCACCAGGCCCACCTACCAACACTACCACCTGGCAAATGTCAACATGCATTTCAGAGGGGAGCAGCCACATTCAAGCCATTCCGTCCTTCTCTTGGCATTCTCCTGGGTTGGACAGGAAGACATTAATGGGTGCCAGTAGCTTGGTGCAAACCCAAGGCTCATCTCGATGCCCACACTTTTCCTAATGTCCCCCTTCCGGTCTGTCACAGGTACAGGTATTGTGGGTGCTATGACCCAGCATTCCTTGATTTCCACCTCACACCTTGCTGGTCTACAGCCACCTCATCTCACAGGAGCCCCTGGGCTGGCCTTTCTGTCCACCTCAGCCTCTCCTCCCCAACCCTCCAAGTCCTCTCAGCCCATAAATCTGCTGGGACCCTCTGCTGTGGCTTCCTACCTCACTCCCCTAGCCAAGACCCAAAGAGACCTCAGGACCCATCCTGCCACCTCACCAACCTGACTTAGTCCTGGCTGTGCCCTCTCCAGGTGCCCATCACCACTGGCCCCTACTCATCCCATACAGCTCAGCATCAGAGAGACACCTTAGAGAGGCACAGCAGACCAGCAGCTAAAGTGGCACCTAACCAACCCTATTATGCTAACCTCACCTTGTTTCATTTCTTTACAACAGGGCCACCGAAGTTATGAGCATATGGATTTGCTTTCAGTCTGCACAGTACCGTGCCTGGCACATGACAGGAGCTCATTAAGTCTTTGTTGAATAAACATGGGATTAAATATGCAATTGAGTAAGCGAGGATAATGGGAACCAGTTTGTGGAATAATTGCTATATTACAGGCATTCTGCATGCATCACAATAACTCCGTGAAACAGATATTGTCAGCTCCCTGGACCATTGAAGACACCAAGGCTCAGAGAGGTTAAGTGACCTGACCTGTCTACACAGGCTAGAATCAAACCTAGATCCATATAATTTCTTAATACTTGCTGTCCTGACAGTTCCACTGGTTCCTGTAGGGTAACAGAAGCAAAACCTTGCATCACCACAAGTGACTCATCCTAAATCCCCAAGTCCCTCTGTTGGAAATTGCTAGGTTTGGATTTTTTTGTGTTTTTTTTTTTTTTGGTACCGGGGATGGAACTCGGGTCCTTGCGCTTGCGCAGCAGGTGGTGAAACCACTGAGCTAAATCCCCGGCCCAGGTTTGGATCTTAATTGTCTCCCAAGGCACACACTGTGAATCAACAGTAACAACCCGATGGTAGAAGGCGGCACTTCGACTGGAAATGGAGGAGCCTGGACACCCTAGGTATCTGCAGAGGTGGGGCAAGAGACCCTACAGGGAATGTGGGATTCTCCTCAGGAAACGTTTTAGATCCATGAAACTGAGCCCAGAAACATGTGTTCTGTCACATGACTCACACACTCTCACCAGCCTTGATTGTTCTGTTCTGGTTTGGTTTTTGAGACACAGTCTCACTGTGTGGTTCAGACTGGCCTTGAACTCATGCTGGGATCACAGGCATGCACCACCATAGCTAGCTTCTTGGGTTTTTTGAATTCCTTTTTCTAGTTGTGGGAGAAGACAGTGTGTACAGACACAGGGGTAGGAGGTCCATGGAGAGTGATGCAGTATTCGCATCTGCTCAGTGACTGTGAAGCACTGCAGACCCTGCCTGGCTGGAGGCTGGAAGTCTAAGGCCAAGAGTCTCAGGCCAGCTCCTCCTCAGGCTTCTGTCCTTGGCCTTCAGACCACAGCTTCCCGTACATGGCCAAGCCTCTGTGTGTGTATGAGTCCTAATCTCTTCCTCTAACACCACAGTCGCCTAAGATGGGCACATTTCGAGGCCCTGAGTTCAATTCCTGATACCACACGCATGGGCGCATGCGCACACACACACAAACACACGCACACACACACACACACACGTACGTTAACCTCCCCTCATCCTCAGATCCTTTCTCTAGAAGCAACTAGGGGTTAAGGGTTTCTAGCCATTCTTCCATAATTTTCTACACATATTTCAGGATTTTAAGATTATACAACTGAGCTCTATTTTGCTCCTTGGCATTTTTACCTAACATGTCTTGGCTATTTTCCCATGCGCTGCATAGAGATCTTGTTCTTTTTCATACTTGACCACCAGTCCATGGACTGGTAACACTTGTTTTCGTTTAGCTAGTCTCGTGGTTGGACATCCAGTTGTCCCTCAGTGTTCTTCTGTTTTTTGTTCATTAAACAACACCAGAACATGCATCTTTACATGTATTCTTCACGCATTTGTGTAGGTCCTGGGGGCCCAGCCCCTTGGGACGAGTTCAAGGCTCCCAAAAGAGGCTCCTCAGTGGCCAGGCTGTCACAGCACCCCCAGGGCTCCTCCCCGGTGGAAGATTCCAAGAGGTGCTGCCAGAGACAGGGCCCAAGCTGGCAGTACAGGGAGTAGGTCCTATTCTCAGGCTCCTAGCAGCCAGGGGAGAGGCAGGGATTTGACACAGGAGGACCTGGGCCTCACCCAGCACTCCCAGGGGCAGCCTAGACCCCAACTCTGGGGCAGTCAGGTGAGGGTGGATCCCCTGCATCTGGGAAGGATGGCCAGCTGGAAGTCCCCCTCCCCTGGGCACAGAGGTTGCTTCACACCTGGGCCCTTGGAAAACACACTGCCCAGGAGTTCCAGGCCCAGTGCTGACCCCAGACACAAGCATCCCAGGACCTGGCCTCAGACTTCCTGGTTCTACCCAAATGTCTATTTTCCAGATGAATTTCAACATTCTTTCTCATTACCTCACTCCCAAATCCTCTTGATACATGGTTGGAGTTGACTTAGGGAGAATTGGCATTTTTATAACACTTAAGCATCTTTAAGTGAAGTGTCATAATTTTGTCAGCCCCTGGGTCTGGGCCAAAGTGAAGCCTGGGCACAAAGCATGAGAAATCTCTCTGGGAACAGGAGACCCCTCAGCACCACCATCTCTCCCCAGGGTGGGGCACACCCATCACAGCAGCTAGGTCTTGTCACAGCCATTTATGTCACCTAAGCTGCTAGGAAGAGTGGAAGATAGGGCATGGTGGTTGCTGCCACCTCCCAGACACAGGGCAGGCACCCAGCCCAGTGGTGCTGCAGGAGCTGGCGAGGCCCACTGAAGTGACCATCACACTGACAGGCACTTTGGCCACCTTTTGCACTGGCACAGTGGTGCTCCTAACATCCTGTATGCATGTCCCCTCTCACAGCTTTTTTTTTTTTTGGTACAGGAGATCAAACTTGGGTCCTTGCGCTTGTGCACCAGGTGGCGAAACCACTGAGCTAAATCCCCGGCCCTCTCACAGCATTTTAAACCTATTTCCAGTGAGTATCCTAAGACCACTCCACTCAGGAAGTCAGTGGGGTCACCACTGCAACACAAACTTCAAAAGTAGGATATCTGATGCTGCAGGCACACCAGGTTTACACTGCCCTGTGCTCACCTGTAAACATGTTAACAAATCCCCAGGACCTAAACATCACTCAGGGAGCAGAGCTGAAGAGCTGCTTACCAGTGACAGAGCACACAGTGAGGTCTTGTGACCTGGGAGGATCAGAAAAGCATGGGTTCCAGGCAGGGCTGGCTTATTGCTTAAGAGTGTGCTTCTGGAAGGTCTCTGTGACTATAAAGCAGAGAGCCAAACACACACAAAAATAGAACCCAGCTGAGAACTTTGTGTTGGATCTGGTTGCTTCCTGTGACATTACACAGTAAGAATTCTGTTGACTTCCTCGGTTGTGACTTGGGAAGGGAAGAGATCACTGCTATAAATTCATGTAGATGGTGCTGGAAGATGACCCCTCCAACAGATGCAGAAATAAACAGATTGCTTGTCACCTCTGCAAGAAGTCTTCCAACCACCCAAAGGGTGCTCCACCCTACACACTTGAAACTGCAGTGCATAAGCCACCCAGACAGCGCCTGCTGGGAAACACCGCTTGTACAGAAAGCATCATTAACTGGCACCCAGGTCTGACCAGGGCTGCGACAGCATCACAGAATGGGACAGGAAGACAACAGCTGTGAGCCGAAGCAGAGCCAGGGGGCGCTGGAGCCACGCTATAGGTTCACAGTCCTAATAAGACCAACTCCTAGCCCCAAAGGGCTGAGAGGAGGTGCCCGGCAAGAATTAAGAGTATTGAGAGAAGCTCAGCCGGTCCCAGCACCCGGAAGGAAGCTCCCCACCTCCATCCCAGGCTCCTAGGGCAGTGAAGCTCAGCCAGGCCCAGCACCTGGAAGGAAGCTCCCCCACGGCCATCCCAGGCTCCTAGGTCGGAGAAGGTGAGCCACGTGGGTGCCAAAAGCACCCCCTCCCGTGGAAATGAGAAGACACCTAAACAAGTCTCAAAAACAGACTTCTGGATCACCTACAGCAACCCCAAAGGGAAATGAGATGGAAGAATCTGATACTCAACCACCTGGACTCTCTGAACTGGCAACAAAAGAGGATCTGGGAAAAATGAAATCAGAAATAATTACTCAGATAACAGCA